CAAACTAAACAAAACCCTCTGCCACTGAGTCGATTCTGACTCACAGCCACCCTAGACAACAGAGTAAAACTGCTCTGTAAGGTTTCCAAAGCTGTAAATCTTTAAGGAAGCAAAATGCCTCATCTTTCTCCCTCGGAGCAGCCAAGTGGTTTTTAACTGCTGAACTTCTGGTTAGCAGCCAAATGCCCTACCCATTGTGCCACCAGAGCTCCTTCAAAGGACCAATAGCTACCTACCTCTATTCAAGCTGACCTGCAAGTATGCTGGTAATATCCTGTCTAGGCTGATTAACTGGAAGTCATCAATACAAATATAACAAGGAGCCCTGGTGCACAATGGTTAAGTGCTCAGCTGCTAACCAAAAGTGATTTGAACACACCAGTGGCTCCACAGGACAAAGACCTGCTCCCACAAACACTTCTGGTGCTGTGTACTATTGACTCCATTCCAACTCATAGCAACTATACAAAACAGAGCAGAACTGCTCAGAGGGTTTTCTAGGCTGAAATCTTTACAGGAGCAAACCGTCAGGTCTTTTCTCCCGCGTAACAGTTAGTGAGTTGGAACCACTGATCTTTTGGTTGGCAGCAGAATGCTTAACCATTGTGCTGCCAGGCTCCGTCCTGTAAGGATTACAACCCAGAAAACCCTGTGGAAGTTCTACTCTGTCACTTGGGGTCGCCTTGAGTCCAAAATTGACTCAACAACACCTAATAACACAGGTAACTTTTTAAAACTCCATTTGTAGGTCTCATTCAGGAGAATAAATCAGATACTTATTTAAAACAAACATACTTTGGTTGTCAGAAATACAGGTAATCCTTGCACTCTGCAGACTTCTAATAGCTAAAAATTTCAGTTACCAAAGTATATTAACTGTAAGTATAAAATACATATTTACCTGCTAGCTATTCAATCCACAACTCATTACATAAATAACACTGGCAAATGACATCTGATTGGTTACTACATGGCATTCAGTTCATTCACAGACAACAAAATGTACTCTAGTTGTGCTACTTCCTTATCTCCCCATGGTAAATCCATGTAACACTACAAAACTGGGAAATTAAGAGGGAATTGGTCAATAAAGATGAAAGTAAAGCAAAGAAAATGTAGTAAGGCTGCAAGTGAAATTCAAAATGAAAGTAAATAGAGCTAAAGAAGAAATAGCTGACTGTGGAATGGTGCCACTACTGCACTATTCGAGCATTCTGGATATGTAGTCAGAAGAACTTAGTGAAGGCTAACTTACCAACCCAGATATAAAGCACACCATAAAGACTATTCTTTCCAAATTTGGTCAGCGAAGGAAGAAAATGGAATAAAAATTTACTGAGTTGTTATTACATGATAGGAATATACCTTCAACTTGGCAATACTGAACAAGTAGTAGTAAAAAAACTAGTAGTAAAAGACAAGTCAGTTTTTGTTTTGTTTTGTTTTAGCATCAGACACTTGAGACTTGCATGCCAGCATAACAGAAAGAGGTGGAAGAGAGAAAGGGATTTAAGAAGGGTTTCTCAATCTTAGCACTACTAACATTTTGGACAAGAAAATTCTTTGTTGTAAAGGGCTGTCCTGTGCATTGTAGGATATTTAGCAACATCTCTGTCATCTACTTATTAGATGTCCTATGTCCCACTTCTAGTTAAGAAACCCAAAAACATCTCCAGGCATTGCCAAATGTCCCCTACAGTATAAAACTGTCCCTGACTGAGAGCTACCAGATAAAAGGGAATCATGCAAAGAATAAGTTCTAAAGGATGAAATGGGCAAAGCAATGTCTGCACAGAGTGGCAATAACATTGCTAACAAACAAACAGAAAATTAATTACCTTTATGTCTGGATCTGACAACTGGTTCTTCAACAACTCAAAGTCATTTGTTTCACCCTTACCAATAAAGGGAAAAAAAAAATGGAGGTTAAGTTTACATTGGTTTCCTATTAAAGATCAACAGCAGGACACTTAACTATTCTTTAACATGTTCTGAAATTACAAAAGGAATGTTATAACTTTCACACATCAATTATAAAAGCATGACTACAAAAATTTAAAAACTCATCTTAGTGGAGCCAGGCAGCTTGAAAAAAAAAAAAACAACAACAAAAAAAGCCATTCATATTTAGCTATGATATATAGTTGTATACTTACATTTGAATAGTTCATACTCTGAGAATTCTCAAAATATATGAGAAAAAAAATCACTGTAATTATCTAATTCAGAGGGAACTAAAATACTATCAATTTATACAGATGGATATAAATGGATATTATGTATACAAATGGATAGTCATTTATATTTTCCCTTCCACTGGTGAGATCTAGTAACATCACTTCCAAAGGAATGCAAAAGCAAGCAAAACAAACAAACAAACAAAACTTCTAGTACCAAAGCTCATTTGTTGTTTAAAAGTAATGCTTGGTCAATTTCTTAGGAAGATAAAATGCTCTGATCTAATGGTTTTTACTCAAGCAAATTTTTTTTTTTAAAATGTTGTGTAAATAAAGCATTTTTTATGCTTTTATGAAACTTCAGCAAAGACTTATTAATCTAATTTTGAGCTGTTATTATATATTTCAAGATAGATATCTAAAATTCATTTTGTCTATTGGCCTCTAGTATAAAAACTATGAGTGTATTCTGACCAGATACCTGGGAATCTCATTAAAATGTAGATTCTGATTTAGTTATCTGGGATCCAAACGAAACCAAATTCATTGCTGTCAAGTCAGATCTGACTGATAGCAACCCCTCCTTGGATTTCCAAGGAATCTTTACAGAAGTAGATTGCCCCATCTTCCTTCCCTGGAGCAGCTGGTGGGTTTGAACCGCAAGCCTTCGAGTTAGCAGTCAAGTGCCTTAGGCACCACACCACAGGAGCTCCTACTTGAAGAGGCTGATTTTTCAGTCAGAGGCGGTACCACTAGAGGCGGTATCACTATGTGGTATCACTAGTAGATTGCCCAACCTTCCTTCCGAGGAGTGGCTGGTGGGTTTGAACAGCCAGACTTCTGGTTAGCAGTCAAATACCTCAGGCACTACACCACCAGAGCTCCCGTATCTGGGGTGGAAATGCAAATTCTCCACAGGGGGTTGAACTGGAATGAATCAGTTTGAAGCCCTCATTCTAAGCAATAAAAACCAGTCTTCATACGTTATCTCTTCTTTTACCTTTTTGTACTTCAGCAGGACTTCTGTCACGGTTCCACCAAATCTAACAGTTTTTCTTGGGGGAGAACTGAAGAATTCATTCTCTAATGCAAGCACATCTGAAATCCTGTAGAAGTAAGATTATCAAGTGATTAAGTACATAACAGCATAAAAATTTTAACAGCCAACATTCACTGAACTTAGCAATTGTCATTCAATGAAGACTGCTGCAAAAACCTAAATGGGTTTCCTGCTTCCACTCTTGCCTCCTAATAATTCATTCATTACTCAGCAACCAGAGTAGTCTTTCAAAAAGTTAAAATACATCGTGCCACCTTGTTGTTCTGCTTAAACTCTCCAATATCTTACTTCTGTACTTTGAATAAAAATCTAAACTCCCTACTGTGGTCTTCAAGGTCCTACATCAATCTGGCTCTTGCCTACCACTCTGACTACTTGCTCTACTGCAGCCATAGAGTTCCGTCTATTCTTGAAACTTGGCCATTTCACTCCTGCCATAGTGTTCCGTCTATTCTTCAAACTTGGCCATTTCATTCCTGCAAGCCAGTATCTGTACAAAGTAGCGATAACTTTATATCTCTATCAGAAACACTTTTTCTCCAAATCTACATATGGCTGGTTTCTTGTCTTCATTTAACTTGCAGGTCAAATGTGAGAGAGATCTTCTCCACCAGAAATCTAACGTATCTACCCCTCTCCCTCCCTCCATCCCTTAATTTTTTTTTTTTTT